CTAAAGAGTTTGAGATTGTCCAGTCACTTATCTTCTGCAAAACGCTTTTTTCCGCACATAAAGCCTGGTGGACAACTTTCCCCCCAAAGAAATAAACTTGTGTCGTCTGCGTAAATTATAAAATCTGCACTGTCGACCATATTTACTATATCATTTATGTACAGGTTAAACAGACGGGGTCCAAGAATGCTCTCCTGCGGCACCCCTGACGTCAGTTTCTTTAAGCTAGAGCGCTGACTATCAATCACGACACACTGATGCCGATATTTAAAAAAAAACTCTTGATCGTCTTTGAGGCTACTCCTCGCACCCCGTATGCATTTAATTTTTGAAGCAGAGTTTGATGATTTAGACGGTCGAAAGCCTTTGAAAAATCAATTAAGAACCCCATGGTAATCAATTTCCTTTTGATGTTGTTTAATAATAATAATAATACCAATTTTTATTTTTATGTGCACAAAAGCAACCCGGAAGCCTTCACTTTGGCGCACAAGTCAATGCTAAAATCGATCAGAAACAAAGTAACACAATAAAAGCAAAAGAACGCGCAGACCAAAGGTGTGTTGGAAGAGGTTCCAATTTCTTGCGAAAAACATATATAACACTGAATCTATCAATACTTGTATCATTAAGGCGATTATATAACGATTGTATACGTGACAGGGGCGATGATCTGCACATGGTATTGACGTAAAAAGCAGTATGCTTCCTAGTTAACCGAGAACGGGCATGAATGTTAATTGTGGATTAAAGCTAATCGCTATCTATCATCGCATTTACTACCTTATGTATAAAAGTTAAGCCACGCTCGGCCCTTCTTTCGGATAATGGACGAAGAGAAATATTATCAACGAGGAAGTAATAATCATAATAAAAGCGACGTTAAAAACAGCTGTCATAAACAATACGTACGAAACGCTTTTGCACAGTTTCAATTTTCGCTGACTGCGTTCCAGACATTGATTTCCATGCTACAGATGCGAATTCAAGCCGTGATCTTACTAGGGAGCGAAAGAAACGAATAATAAAGGCTGGGTTTTTAAACTGATGCGTGATGCGAGATATCAGTCCCAGCATCTTAGTTGCCCTACCTACAATAGATGACACTTGTGGAATGAACGCGTCAATGCATTGTCTATGCACACGCCAAGGTCTGTTACAGAAGATACACGTTCGATAGGAATCCCTTCTAATAGATAACTATTGTATACTACATTATAACATTTGTACAAAGTTAATACCTTTGTTTTTAAAGGATTCAGTGACAAGTCATTCAATTCGCACCACTGAACTATTCGCGACGCGTCATGCTGTAAAGTATCGCAGTCTGCAGGAGTACGAATATTCATAAAAATCTTAATGTCATCTGGAAACAACAACACCTCAGCAATTTTTAAGTTAGACGATAGATCGATCACTAAAAATGAGAAACAAAAGGGGACCAAGAATAGACCCTTGGGGAACATCGGAATTGGAAAAGAAAGTTTTTGAGCGACTGTTATCTATGCGAACGCTGTTGGGACGACATGATAGGTAGCTTTGGAACCATATACACACCTGTGCGCAACAACCTTATAAAGACAATTTACGTAATAACAACTGGGGGTTCACTTTATCAAATGCTTTTGACACATCAAAAAAGGTACAATCAATTTGCCCTCTGTTCATAACAACAGGGACAGAATAGTTCTAAAATGAGGACAGGTTAGTTTCAACAGACCGTCCAGTCAGAAAACCAGGCTGGCAAGCATCAAATTTCCGGTGGAAGTAAAACAAAAAAATGTGTTTGTGTATAACGCGCTCGAACACCTTGGAAAATGCCGACAATAAAGATATCGGCCGATAGTTACTAGAAATAGATCGATCACCACTTTGAAAAATTGGTACAACAACCGCAGATTTCCATAACCAGAACTAAGAGAGAGGTTAAAAATGTGCCCTGAGATGGGTATGAACAGTTCACCGCACCCCTTGATGACAAAGGATGGGATAGAGTCGGCTCTTGAAGATAACTTTGGTTTTAGAATTTTTATGGCTTCAGAGATTTCTCCAGGTCTACTCAGAGTCTTTTATACTAGGAGAGTTCGGCAAATGGGAGGGGCTTACGGCCCGCTAGGTTTAGCGGATTCAACGGGTTCCGCTCCCGCCATGATGTGCCTCCCGGCAAGTGGGTTCCCATTGACGTGCGATGTATACGCGTGTAAGTTTTGCCATTCGCGCTTTTGTTGCCGTTTACGAACGGCACTAATTAGAGAGTTTTAGTAGATCGTTCCCATGACTCCGATAACGATACCCGATACTCCGCCACCGCCTCCCTTGTTCATGCATAGTATCGTTATCGGGGCTATCGGAGGTATCGGAACGATCTACTAAAACTCTCTATTTATAAATGGGGAATCGCTCAAAAACGCCTCCCGTCCGACGCGACTCAGCGGCCTTGTGCGCATTTTTCAGTGCACTGTAAAAAATCTTTCGTAGAAAAAACGAGAAAATGCTTGGCAGCTCTATTAAGAGGGGATGCCCATTAAAATAACGCACCCCCATATTCAGAAAATATGTGAAAAGGGACGTTAATGCAACGATACCCATTTTTTCAAAATACGAGGATGCTCGTTAAACTTATGTGTACACATCATTTTAATGAGCATCCTTATACTCTGAAAAAATGGGTATTATAACATTAATCTAACGTGACCCCATATTCTGAAAAAATGTGAAAAAAGTCGTTAATATGACAATACTTATTCTGCCAAAGTATAAGGATGCCCATTAAAATTATGCATGCACATAATTTTAACAAGTAACCTTGCACTTTGGTAAAATGGGTACCGTTGCATTGACGACATCTTTTTTCACATATTTTCACAATATGGGGGCACATTAGCATTTTAATTGGCAACCACTCTTAATAGAGCTGCCAAGCATTTCATCATTTCTTTTTTACAAAATATTTGTTTCTACATCTCTTTTTAGCTGAGGCACTGAAGTAGCTCATGTTCTGCTGTCCAATATTTTTCACTTACACAAGTTTCTGTGCAACGATATTCTGAAATATAACTTCAGGGTCATTAATGCACCTGAAAACGTGAGCCATATACTATGGGGATTGCAATGCAATGCAATAGTGAATTCATGCACTTTGGAGCAGCTCTGCTGCTTAGTCTAAAATGAAGAGAAAATAATTGGCACAGAAACTTAAACTTCAAAGTAGGTGAGATAGGGTGCAGCAGAACAGCAGCTAGCTACAGTGTTTCTCACGTGATGCACCTGCAGACACAGCTGTGAGCTGCTAAAATCTGTTGCAAGCCAAAAATAACAGGTAAGTGGAGAGAAGGAAACCACCATTGCACCATGATTGGTTGTTTTCTCCTCCCCACTCCCCTGCTCTCCAGCCTCCGCTCTGCTGATGTTGAAAGAGTGGCGGGCTCTGTGGGAGGGGCTTGCTCTTGCTGTTCTAGAGTTGGAACAGACCAGAGCGACCTGGAGGTTTTCGAAAGTGCAGCTCAAGCTGGCAGCATCATATCGGCAGCAAATTCTCACAACATAAACACCTTTGAGAAAGGGTTCAGAATTGAGACAGCAGTGAAAATGCAAAACAGTTTGGTCGGTCGTTTGTAAATTATTTTTCTTTAGCTCTTTGTAGCTGTTTTCTTCGAGCTTATTTTAAGCAACAAAAAACGAGGGAAATTGTAATAGCTCTTTATTATATCTAAAATTCGTTTATGGGTACTTCTTCCGAGGTGTAGGGCTATCTCAATGCTCCCTGCATATGCAAAAGAAAGATGTATATATAGTCATAAGCTAAGCATAAGGCTGTCGAAACAATACAAAACAAGGTGAGCCTGACATGCACACAATACAAATAATCCTGCTCGATCTGCAAAGAGAGACCAGCTCACCTTGATGAAAACAACTGGTCTGAACCATAAGGGAAGGCCAGCACATCTCGGCGTTTAGTGTTTTCCTCCGAGGAGACCTGCGGTTATCACAGAAAATGTAGTTTTAGTTGAAAACCAATTGACATTGCAGGAGAGAGGCATGAAATATCTGTACAGCAAGTAATGTCCGTGACAAATAGGACACATACCACAGCTCACTTCCAGTAAAACATCGTGCCTTGGGCCTCAGGCAATTAACGAAACAAAAACTTGTCTACGCTCCATCTTGCGCTTTACGTGCAGAAAACCTGCAATTGCCAGTAAAAATGCAGATTTAGTTGAAAACCAACTGACATTTCAGAAGAGAACAAAAATCTAGGGCAGCAAATAATGTCTGTGACAAGTAAGGCTGGTAGGAGACCATAGCTCACCTTCAATAAAACAATGCGCCTGGGCCAGTTAAAAAAAGAACCCCTTGTTCGGACCCCTGTCTACGCTTTCATCTGAAGAAACCTGCGCTTAACAGGAAAATGCAGTTTTAGTTGAAAACCAATTGATATTTCAGAAGAGGAGCAAGATAAAACCTGATGCGGCTAATAATGTCTGTGATGAATAAAACACAGACCACTTGTAACGGGACCATAGCTCACTTTCAGTAAAACTCCATGCCTTGGACGATTAAAAAAACAAAAAAAGCTTGTCCACGCTCCATCTTGCGCTTACGAGCAGAAAACCTGCAATTGTCAGGGAAAATGCAGATTTAGTTGAAAACCAACTGACATTTCAGAAGATAAATCTAGTGCAGCGAATAATGTCTGTCACGAATAAGGCACAGACACTTAAAGAACAACATAGCTCACCTTCAATAAAACAATGTGCCCGGGCCGTTTAAAAAAACAAAATAACAGCTTGTCCGGACCCCAGCTTACGCTCTCGTCTGAGGAAACCTGCGCTTATCAGGAAAAATGGAGTTTAAGTTGATATTGCACAAGAGGAGCGAGACAAAACCTGATGCAGTGATTGTCTGACGAATAAAACATGGACCACTTGTAACGGGACCATAGCTCACCTTCAGTAAAACTCCATGCCTTGGACGATTAAAACAACAAAAATCTTGTCCACGCTCCATCTTGCGCTTTACGTGCAGAAAACCTGCAATTGCCGGGGAATATTCAAACTTAGTTGAAAACCAATTGACATTTCAGAAGAGAAGAAAAATCTAGTGCAGCGAATAATGTCTGCGATGAATAAGGAACAGACACTTGGAGAAGACCATAGCTTACCTTCAATAAAAACGATGTGCCCGGACTGGTTAAAAAAAGAATGGCTTGTCAGGAAAAAAACTAACGTGGCGAATAATGTCTGCGACGAATAAAACAAATACCACTTTTAAAGAGACTATAGCTCACCTCCAGTAAAACACTGCCTTGGTCAGTTGAAAAGAGAAGACTTGTCAACGCCCCATCTTGTGCTTCTCTCCGAGGAAACCTGCGCTTGTCTGAGAAAATGCAGTTTTCGTTGATCCCAACACCTCAAGGCCAGGTATTGTGTTCTAGTATCTTTTAGAAATCATCCACAAGTCACATATGCTACAGGTGAAAACGAGACTATTTTAAGACTACTAGGGCAACATATGAAACCTGCCCACTGAACCACTCTAAAAAATATGGCATATAAAAAGTAATCAGGTTGATGATACGTATAGACTATGGAAAACAAAGGAAGTCTTCTAATTTTTAAACATTCTACAGCGAGAACCAAAGGGAATCTAACCCATTTTCGCGAGAAGCGGTACTGTAATTTGTGACGTATCGTAAAATACCGGGCAAGCGCCCACTCAGTATTTAGACATAATCGCAAAAAAATGGGAGATGGGCGCTTTTCCGGTTATTAATTTTACATTTCAACGTACTGCGCAGACTTTCTCAGATATTACAAATTTGGGAATGGGCACTTAGCGGAGAGTGGGCGGATGCAAGGTATTCTACGGTATGTTCAGCTAGGTGGTGGATTTCTTTTATAAAAATTTCGAAGGAGAAACTTGCCCGGTCAAATGTTACAAATAAATACAATAGGTTTCCTATGGACAGACATGGAATTAAGGCTGTCTCAGGTGGAAGTTTAAAAACGCGGTTGAGGGGCACTAAACCATATACGAGACAAACCGGTGATGAGAGCAAGTGATAAGTGTTTTCGTTCCTACCTTCAATGTTTGAGCTAATTCGAACGTCCCATTGGCCCACAACATTTTCAAGCTCTAATCTGAATAAGCTCAAAACCACGTTGGTCCATAACAAATATACTGTTTTTATTTGTAACTCTTTGCTGAGGTAATTGTTTTCTTTGGTACTATTTTAACAAAACAAATCCACGACCTAGCCGAACCCACGTCACAAACCACACTACCGTAGCAAGCGAGACTGATTTTTGGGGGGTGGTCAAGTCGGCTAGCGCACACCAGATCGGAGCATGTGGAGCGAGAGCTCGCACTGTAGAACTTAGGGATCCTGGGTTAAATCCCCACACATGCTCATTTGAACTGGATGAGCATCGTACCGGCATGCGGTCGTGTATCACTACTCCGTGTGCTTGTTAAAGACCGCAGGCTAGCGGTTCTACTGCACTGGCTAAATCGCTCATCTACAGCGAGTTATTCGTCACAACATTGAAATGGCTGGCTAACTACACACTGTATAACTATCCACATAACCCCAATTATTTTTACTGATTTTTGCGATGTACATAAATTTGTAGGTTAAATTCTTTTGGCCCTCACTGTAACAATTAAAACATAGATTAACAAATGTTTTTCTAAATTTACAAGGAACTCAAGATTCTAATGGTAGGCGGCGGTATGCAAGCTTCATTGTACCTAATATAAATAATATATATAAAATCAAGTTATCTAATCTGTCTATCATTTTAATTCCATCTAGTACTATAAATAAAACACTGTCTCTTTAATTTATGCTGCAGGGCTGCCGCATATGTCCTTGCTTTTTCTTTTATATTGTGTACCATTTATAAGAACTGAAGGCAGTACAGGAACTTTTAGAAACATTTTCGCCTTTAGTCTCGTATCCCCATCGGTCAAATTAGAAATAGAAAATCGAATTAAAGGAATTCTTTTCGAGCGCAGCTCTTGGGCGCCCGTTACCGGCTTCAGCGGCGTCGGCGTCGCCGTAACTGCGCGGTGCATTATAGGACCTTTCCCATGATGCAACACGCGGGGAGGAGGACGAGAGCAGGAGGAGGGGAAGAGAAGAGAAGGGGGATGAGGAGCAGGAGAGGAGGGACAGGGAGGAGGAGGAGAGAAGGAAGGGTATACCCTCCCCTCTTCCTCCTCAAGAGCTACGCTCTAATTCGGCGTTACGGGGTGTTGTAAACGTCTTTTTCATTTTTTGATCCAATAAAACAAATTTTTATCTGCAATAGCAAAAATCGAGCATCACAAAATATAAGAGGGAAGACGAAAATAAAAAAACACACCATTAGAGTGAACGAATCTTGTTCAGCAGGCCTAGAATTCTGGCTGGGATTCCATTGACCTTGTTGTGACCACGGGAGCTGGACTTGCTACCTTTAGATGGGTTTAGTTGGCCAAAATGCCTGTACAAGAGGTCAAAGAAACGCATGTCAATTGAACATGAACAACTCACATTCTTGGGTGAAAGATGTCGAGATCAAGGTAGACCCAGAAAGCAACTTACAAAAAAAAGTTTTTACTCCAGACCGAGTCGACAAGCTCCATTTAAATTAGCGATGAAAGAAGTCTGGCTTTGCATGAAGGTAAACACAAATTCCTTGTGCGTGTTTATACAGCCTGCCTTTGGGCTGACTTTCACATATCGGTGGCTGGTTCACACTGCACAGCAAAATATCTCGTGCAGTAGGGCTGCTAACCCGAGGCCTTTAGAGCCAACATGCAGTAGTGATACACGAACAGATGCCAGTATAATGCCTATCAAGATTAGAACAGGTGAGGCGCTAGTCCGACTGTGGATTCCTGGACTTTGCAGTGCGAGGTCTAGGTCCACATGTTCAGGGTTGCGGTGCACTAGCATAATCGACCACCAGTCCCGCCATGAACAAACACTGAATTCTGACATATCTGTACCTCTGAAGGAACTCCAGCGTGTACGAGGCCTCCTTTGGGTACTTGATGTTGAAGACGAAATACGCTCCCAGGAGCGAGCAGAGACTGACCTCGAGACTGCTTGCCTCAAACACAAGCACCCTGTCAACAACCAGCGCAATCTGGAGGGGGTCATCTAAAAGCGTAGAACCTAAGTAAAAAATAGCAAGATGTGATGATCATCAAACCTACATGTTACAGATGTAGTTAATTTATTGCAATCGTAACGGTTCAAATGGATGACAGAAAGGACATTGCAATGAGGTAAAATAGGAAATATGGATGCTCTGCATTGCAATACAGTACAAGCTCGTTACAACAGATCTTGTTGCTGCAGAAACTTGGATACAACATACTGATTTGTGAAGCTCAGTTGGTTTTCCTATTTGTACCACTGAGTCAACTTCCTATCTGAATAATACATAATCCTTTTTTACAACAAAGCGAAATAGTGGTCAAAACCAGGGCTCGGCGATATCAAAGATGCATGTATCTCCAATACTAACTTCAGAGGCAGTCGAGTACCTTGTATCTGGTACTGCCTGCCAGGAAAAAATGTATTAATGTATCAGTACTTAATACCCATTTTTACAGTATCGAGTATTTTGAAGATACCCAATAGTTAAGAAATTAGCATTAACTTTTAAAGCTCACTTCCAGTTCATTTTCTTTCTGGCAAAACCAGGCTATCCTTCTTTCTATCAAGTGCAAAACTTCTTTTTTGTCTATAAAACACATGGTTTGGAGTGTTGCCCAATTTAAAAGAGCAGCACGCTGGCATTTGGCCCTTTGATGTTTGAGCACAGTCCTCTGTGGAAGTAGTCAAGTGGTGTATACGTACCTTCAGACTATGGTGATGGCAATTACAGTGCAGGCCTCGCTTGCAACCACCACTGGACAGAGGGACGCAGAGCCAGGCAGAGCCCTGCTGTAGGTCTGGGTAAAAAAGAGAAACATTAGACGCCTGCAGTAATTACCACAAAGGAGAGAGTATGTGAATTAGCCATCCGCATGTCATGGTTGCTATTGATTTGGCTTCAAATTGCGCTCTTCTAGCATGATTCACAAGAAAGTTACAACTCCGCAGAGAGTGAAATACCACCACCGCAGACCGCTCAAGTGCAAAACTTCTTTTTTGCCAATAAAACACATGGTTTGGAGTGTTGCCCAATTTAAAAGAGCAGCACGCTGGCATTTGGCCCTTTGATGTTTGAGCACACTCCTCTGTGGAAGTAGTCAAGTGGTGCATACATACCTTCAGACTATGGTGATGGCAATTACGGTGCAGGCCTCGCTTGCGACCACCACCGGACAGAGGGACATAAAGAGCCCTTCTGTATGTCTGGGGAAACAAAGAAAAATTAGGTGCGCAAAATAATTTCCAGGGAGGACGGTGCGAAAGCCCTTTTTGTTAAATTACCATCAGCATGTTATGCTGATTTTAATGACTGAGCTCCAACTGTCGATTCCCGAACATGATTGACAGGGAAGTTATGGCTCCGAAGACAGTGAACACTGACGGCAGGGTTCGTTTAACTTTCTAGCTTAAGCAACAAGTGCTTTAAAGTACTGTATTTTCCAGTCTAAAGACCCTAGGAGCCAATTTTGCCTAAAAAATAAGCTTTCGTTTGGACAGTTGGCGCTCAATGCATAATCTGCAGGGCAAAACGTAGGCTGAAAAGCTAACATCCATAGTCTGTCAGTCCGCACCTCTCGCACAAAAGATATTTGCGGACAAAAGTCTGAATTTTCTTGTGCACCTCTCCTGGGTGAACCGCAGAGCTTTCAGCTTGACCCACATTGACCGCTTGCAGGCATCCAAGCGAGCAGTGTGTCACACGCAAGGCATAGAAAGCCTGAGCAACAGATTGAAAGTGTGACGTTCACTTCTTAATCCCGGCGTAAAACATCCTAAAATCTGCAAGCCAATCAGACCAGTCTGGTGCTAACGAAGGATCTAGAAACAAAAATTATTGCATAGTATAACCCGTATCTGTAGATGGTCTGCACAACATAAAAAACAACTTTTATACATGCATAGTCTGCGGACTATAGACCAGAAAATACGCACTGTCTGATTCCGGACAGCTGCACACTTCCGTTTTGCCTTTTGATGTTTGGCCTAATCATACGAAGACACTCATTGCTAGAGTTAGTCAAGTGGTGTACACATAATTTGAGATGTTGCTGATGTCAGCTATACTACATGACTCACTTTCCGCCACAACATAACACAGGGTCACATAGCCACACAAAACAGTGATATATGTTTGGGGAAAAAAAAAAGTTACGAAAAACAAATTAATATTATGTACACGCTTGAATTTGCAATGACCAGGTAACGGAAACCTTTTTGAATTTACTGTCTGCATAAATGTACTCGGTGCAACCGTAAAAGCCGGCTCGTTTGGCACGCTGGCAAAATTTGCAGCTGGCGATGAACGATATAATTGCGATGAAGATTTATTTTTACAAATTAAATGACCAATTACCCAGATTAACAAATATTTTAAAATGAAGAAACGTTTATTTATGAAAGATCTACATTACACAAAAAAAAAAGGTTGCACCTGATTTTTTTTTTTTTTTTCGTCTTGCTTATTTGTTTGGGCGTCCCCAGAACGAAATGGGAAAAACAACCGTTCGTCCGCTTTATAGCCCCTTCCACTTGCGAACCGAGAGCGCTCGCAGAATCGCAGCTTCGAGCGCCCAGCCTCCGCGAGCGAGCTTAGCGGCACATGTTGCAGCAAACGAGTTTGCTCTGTCCTCTGGCAGCCGCTACCACTGCCGAGCTCTCCGGCGATGCTTCACGGGCTGCACGGAAACCATCTCGGGCGATGACGTCGCGTCGTGATCCGACATACGGTACATAACTTACGGTTCTGCTGCCTTAGCTAATAAACGAATTGTTACCCTCCCCACGGAATAATGACGAAACTCGTACCCTCCCAAGTACCTATTAGTGGATTCCGATTTCAACTTCGATTATTAGGCGAGAGCGTCGGCACCAAACTTGGGTGGCACGGTGGGCACCGTGAGCACGTTCGTATGGCTCGTGTAACATAAATGCACCCACCTGATAACATGACATCAACAGTACTGCTAGCGAAATGGATACGATTGCTGTCGCGGCTGTGACGAACACGGCGGCATAAACATCGAAACTGAAATGTCGCGAGTGAATATACATACGTCAACCGCGCGAGCCTATGCGGAACCACTACGCAGCGAATTTCTTCCAACCGCTCTACGCGCTCCACCTCCTTGGGCACATCAGTTCGTCTCCCGATCTACAAGCGCAACACACAGAGAGATCGCTCGCGATTTACAAGGGGTACAGGAATTCACTCGGCGAGCTATCCAGATTTGCAAGAAGGCACTAACATTGTTTCGAGAAGTGCACAATTTTCCAAACGCCTCGATCAAATCATTATTTAACGCGATTATTTTGCTGGACACCAGCCTGTTGTAGGATAGAGGAGGCTTCTTTTTTGCATTCAGTAGTACATTACCGGAGCCGGCGGCAACGAAAATATGCACGGTAGCCGTTCTTGTTCTATTTTTAAGATTTCACGGCTTCAGAGTTGACGAATAAGAGAAAAAACATAATACTCTTGGCTCAAAAATGTTTGTATGACCAGTTTCAGGTAAGCACGTTTGAAATTTGAACCATTAAAGACACGCCAAATGTATTGGATTTTAAATACAAGAGTTATTCAAAAGGACGCACTCACACTCGGTCCTCATGCAGCACCGCAGACACTACCGACGGCAATGCAGAGCGGGGACCAGTAGCACTTTGTAGCGTATACAACATGTTCTTCGGAGTACCGATTTCAAAAAGCTCCATGGTTCTTTTTATGCCTTTCGATGTTTCTTTGAAGCAATAAAGTAGTGTTTTATTATACAGGGCCGTACCCAGAAAAAAATTTCGGGGGGGGGGGGGGGGGGGTGGTTTCGGGGACAACGGCGGCCATTTTAAAAATATCTATTGTCTTATTTTCGCCTATGAATCATGGGCGTCGGTGGCATATAATGGAGAGTTATAGCAAACCGGAGAACCGGTCCCGGTTTGGTACCCGGTAGCCGACCGGTGCCACTGCGCGTGAGCAGAAGTGGAGATTAAAATCGGCTGGCTGCAAGTGCACCGACCAGAGCCGTACCCAGAAAAAAATTTCGGGGGGGGGGGGGGGGGGGGGGTCAAAACTCCCTAACCCCCCCCCCCCCCCTGGTTACGGCCCCGAGTGTTCACATACCTTTGGACGTCGCTCCGCCAGGAACGAACGGAGGGAACGGCGCGATACAGCCAAACAGGCCACGCCAAAAACCACGAGGCTTCGATTGCTGTGCGAAAGGGTCAAGTGCTATCGGAAACAATATGAGCGTGAACGCGCTTCCGCAGTGACAAGTGGAGGCGCGTTCACGCTCATATTGTCTCCGATATTACATAGAAAGTTTGTTGGAGTAGTGCATACCTTTGGACGTCGCTTCCCGCAAGGAACGAATGGAGGGAACGGCTTATAAGGCAACGCCAAAAACCACGAGGTTGTGTTTGCCGCGAGAACGTAAACAGCCGAGTGCAGCTGTAGCCTCCACCATGGTAAGGAAAAACTAGCGCCACGAGGCGCTAGTGGCAGAAAGGCGAACATACGTATGGTCGGAGACTAAAATTGGTCTCGAAAGGCTGCCAGATGGCGCCACCATTGCCGTTGGCGTGCGCCGTGCGCCCTCCGTCCTCCTCCTCCTCCTCCTCCTCCCCCCCCCCCGCCCCCGGTTTCTTTTTTTTTTTTTCTGGTTATGTTTGCTAGACTGGTGCCGCGCCGGCCGCTCTGAGCAGCCAGCACGGCACCGGTCTAGCAGACGAGCCGCGCGCAACTGCTCTTCACGTGATACTACCAGTGCAATCAAACAGAAACAGCACATTCATTGAAATGTATTTTTTTATTGAACCCCATTCAAATGAGTTGCGGTATTTCAAACACGTATCGACAAACTCCGTTGGCAGTCCACCGCCCTCCAAGGGGAATCAAGAACTGTAGTAGGCAGTAAACACAGTAAAGTTGTCAAATATATGTAAAACGAAATTAATTACTTTAATGTACAAACTAAGAGAAAAACACTTATCATCAAATTATCTAAATGGCTCTATAAACAACTCCCACAAACTAAACTTCTGAATACCCAAACAAACAAATCAACGCCGAAATAAAGGAAAAGGCTTGCAGGTGAGCTGCATAAGAACAAACGATAAATAAACCACAAACAAACTCGCTAATAGGCAATGCAATTAAGAAAGAAAGAATGTAAACTACTGTTTTGGAGTGACTACATCTCTGACTGTAGGTGCTTTATCGGTACTCTATCCTAACATATAAACACGACGCTGTCAAATTAACTGAAGATTGCTCTGACAGCAACTCACCCAGAGGAGCAAGTCCTTGCATCAACGGATTCGTAACAAGAACAGTGGGGCACGCGTTTTTCCACAAACGAATCTTCCTAGAACTTGCAAACACGGTAGCGCCGAAGTGCTCGCTGCACAAACGACACTGGCGCAGCTTGCTCGTCGGCAAGCCGGGCAGGCTTCCAAAGTCCTGGCGATTTGCATACGCAATCCATTTCGATGCTCTGATGGAAAAATCAAATTTCGAACGCTGACAAAAAAAAAAAAAAAAAAAATATTGATATAGAGGTTCACCTGTCGTCTGTTGGAAAGCGGAAGAATGAGCACTCCGAGTTACTTCGCCGCGCTGTAGACTCCGTAATACGCCGTCATGAGGCACGCAACACACTCGGTAGAATCTCTGTCAAATTAGAGACGTGCATCCCTAATAATTATAACCGCGCAGCAGCGTTGCACCGTACTGCTAGTACTGCCGTAAAATCCGCACTTTCGATTTTAGCACGCGCGGAACGGTTCGAAAGCTTGGAGTGACGAGCGAGCGCAAACGAAACAAAAAAGACAAAAACAGCCGTTTCTCTTCGCTCTTACTGATTGGTCGGAACAGCCCAGAGTGCTTCCTTTTCGGTAGCGAAGATCATATACACGTCACCAGCGCTGAAAATCATAGCGGCGAATATGAGCATAACAGTTTGGTCGGAGTCGGCTGGGTAGATCTACGAATCTGCTCTTTGGATGGACGTATGGGAGAAAAGCCAGCGACGCGGCGCTTCTACCGGCCCAACCGGGAACTCCAGAGCTGCATTCGGCTGAACGTAAAAAGAAAGTTTGTTGGTACGTCCTACAGGCGGCGGTACATGAACAAACGCGACGATGCGCCGGAAAGGGAGAGGGGGTCCTCCGGGTGTCGGAGGTGGTGTTGGCGTCGAGCACGG